TTTGACAGATAGAATTTTTTAAACATTTTTTTCATGTTCCTGGTATCTTATCTTACTTGAAATTTTTCTCTGGGGCGCGAGTTCTGGCGTACCCTGTATATCGCAAATCGTTATTTTATAAAAATATTTTTGCGTAGAAGATCAGCTGTGAAATGTTGTCGGTGAAGTTTTGACTTGAGAAAGTCCTCAAGTTTTAATATCTGGAAAGGTTACTGACATATAGGTATTTAATCAAATCAATTTTGCAAAAATATACTCGTAAGTACTTATCGACTTTCTCCAAGAAAAAATGTATAAGTAGAAAGAAATCACTCATAGTATCTTTGCTAATCTGTCGGCTTGTTTTTGATTTGAGTGCTTCGTTCCCGATTAGATAAGACAAGAAGTTCGGCTTTCTTCATAGGCACATGTGAGCTATATTTTCAGTTTCACTCTATCGAGTGTTTTATTTTTGTAACAGATCATATTTAAATTGGTTTCGATTAATCGAATATATTAATGAAGATGCGTTGGTCTGATAAAAAAATGTAATTAAGTATACGACGAATGTATTCCTCTAAGCAATCAACGGAATTAACCATATTTTTCCGCCCCACTTCGTTTCATTTAATTATACGTATGTCTGGTTCCACAAAAATTCATTTGTATGGACTTTTTCTCTCATTATGTATTTAGAGGGGTGTTCAATATTTCCACGTGTTATTTCATTGATTCAACTTTATATCGGAGAATACATATTTGCTCAGGGTAAATACGAACAGGTATTGTAAAAATGCATTGTTTGTCTTTTATATCGCCTTTGGCAAATAATATCCACAAAATACGACGAAAAAGATAAAAATAAACATACCTACATGATCAATTTTTTCAATTTATCGTTTAATATCAATTTGAAAAAACGATTGAGAAAAAAAAACTAATTTGTTAAATCCGATTGTTTAATTTGGTGATATTTGACTATCTATAAAAATGTCTTTGAATTTTTTATTCGATGTTGGTATATTAAATGTTTACTAAATTAATTAATTTTAACTAATACAAAATTGGTCCCTAGTGTTGAAAGAGTAGGTATAGCTAAAATGTATATACGCTCCGTTTCGTTCAGGAAATTTCAATTTTATAATACATATTTCTACTATTTCTGTATTAACATGTATAAAAAAGAATGAACTAATGATATGAAAGAGTTATAAATCACAAGAATTTTTGGAAAAAAAAATTATTTTTATTTAGGTACTTCTATTTAATTCTTTATTTGTTTTAATTCTTATATTTTTAAAATAAATCTGTACACTCTTGTCTTATCTTATTGATTTAGGGTATGTAATTTTTGCTTTTGCGGAACACGGTCCCGACCTTAAATAAAGGGCCCAGTGACTTAAGATTAATAAAAGGTCAAGTTAGGGCAATAAGTTAATTGCCCCCCTCAAGTGAATTTTAAATGATGCCCCTGATGTCAATAATAACCAACAAAGTATAGGTAAGCGAAAGAGAATATTTAGTATTTTTCCTCAACGAGAAATAGGTGCACCTATTTCTCCTATCGAGTATAACTAATAAACATCTGTACATATTGGAGTTATAAAAAATAAAAATTTGTAAAAGTCCTTGACACTGAATATTTTAGATAAGTAAAATAAATGATAATAGTAAATTACAGTTTACTTTTACCGTTTTTTTATAAATCCACTTTACCTTAGATACCATATTACCATGACTGAAAAATATTTGCACGTTAATGACATATCGATGGTCACATGACATTACAAGATCCATTTGAGGGATTTTAAAATTCAACCTGATCTAAGCTATGGTACGGATAAATTATATACGTATTAGTTATATTATCCCTAAGTCGGTAATCTCCAGCAACAGTTATTTATTTATTGGACGAGTTGAGTGTAAATCGGACGCTTTATGTCACGAGTGGATTTTCATCAACTACGAGGTGGAATAAATACACCAAGACGAGTTGGATACAACATTTTATTCTTAGAATAGACAACAAGCCTTAAAATTGCTTTAAATCTGTTAAAAATAATCTGACGTTTCGTATTGAGAAATGCCAAACACTTGTCATAAAACTTCCTTACAGAGGAGAAAAACCGTAAATTTTGACAGTGTCGAAGAATAAAAATTATTGATTTTATCTTATCCCCTTAAAATAAGTAGGTAAATAGGTATATAGGAAAACGATTTTAGTTACCGAATAAACTAAAATTTGTTGCGTATGCTTAGCCTTGAACTTGACCGACAAAAATTGAAAACCGATACGATTTTTGAGCTTAGCTCTTTAAAATGCATTAAATTGTTCTCAAAAGTTTGAAATAAAATTAACCAAAATTTACTTAAAGAACAAGAGGATTATTTTTACATTTTTTTGTTGAAAATCTTTCAAATGGTTTCAGATATATCAGTAATAACTAGCTTTAGAATAAAGTTTTGAAAATACTATGCAAACTTCATTTAAAATGTCAATTTTTTGACGAACTTGTCTTGATTCAAGATTCAAGAAAGGCTATTTATTATACCCTAGCTTCTATATAGGTATTTTTTTTATGTCAACACATTAGATTTCTTATCTGCATCAATACCAATTGTAAGCAAAATGTTACTAATTTATTAATTTAAATACGTACATAATACCTAAATCCGTTTTGAAAAATCGTTTATGGGTTTATATTTCTAAATTTTATTTTTAAAAATGACACATTTTGACAATATTGTAACATTTATGACGTCATTGGATTTTGGGTAATAACGTCATCACTAATATTTTTAAATGACAACCAACAATTTTGTTGACTGTTTTTGGTAATATGTACATTTTTCTATCTTTTTAAAAGAAAATATTACCAAAAACAGTAAACAAAAATGTTGGTTGCTATTAAAAAAAAAATGATAACGTCGTTACTTAAAAATCATTGACGTTATAAATAATAATGAAAATGTATCACCTACAAAAATAAAAAAAAGAATTTTGTGTGGCACTTTTGGTTCACCCTGAATATACCTACATATTATTTGTAACCAAATGAGCTCCTTGTTTTAATTTTTTTTAAAGTGGTCTATGATTTTGAAATTACCTGACAACATTATATAATGTAGATAAAGAATAAGTTACAGCGTGACTGTAAATGATTGTGTTTTTTGTTGTAAGACACTAAACCACAAATCTGAAATCTTATTTTCGCTGTCAATTGTCATTTTTCAGCACAATCATTTACAGTTTTTTTTATGTGACAAACCTCTCTTTAATACATTATTAAATATTGTTTACTTTTAAGTCGTAGACCGTTTTAATTAAAAATTGGATTAAACGTTTAGTACAAAATCAATATTATTATATTTTTTTATATTTATCATTATTATAATATTTTTTATTCAGGTGGATTTTGCTTCCTAGTTATTTGTTTGGCTTATAGGTACCAATATTTTTTTGGAGACAACTTTTTATTTCACTATGTATCTCATCAATACTTATTTATTATACAAGACAATAAAGAATTTTTTTTATATTTATCATTATTATTATATTTTTTATTCAGGTGGATTTTGCTTCCTAGTTATTTGTTTGGCTTATAGGTACCAATATTTTTTTGGAGACAACTTTTTATTTCACTATGTATCTCATCAATACTTATTTATTATACAAGACGATAAAGAAATTATTTATCTACGAGTGAAAACGTTAAGTTTACGAGTGACGAAATTCACGAGTAGATAAACAATCTTTATCGGCGTGCGCATAATATTTTGTTTTATTTTGTACTCATCACCTACCAGAATTTCTTGAATACAAACAGTAGATAAAAATTACTTTATTTCACTAGACAATAAAAGACTACTTTATTCATTGAAATTAGTTGATAAAAGCACTCTTTAACATTGAGTACAAAATAAAAGTTATTACTTTATATCTACAGGGTGATTCTTAAATAGACCGACAAACTTTTATCACAGCTTCCTAAGGATAAATGGAGACAAACTGTACCTTTTTTACGCTTATAACTTTTAGGGGCAAAACCCCCTTGATCCGTGCCACTTACGGCGTTTATGAATTGTTGCAATGATCAAGTACATTAATATATAATAATACCATGGTATTATATGGTTAATACCATGGTTTCCACTACCTGTGCTAACACATCAGTGGCGTACGCTTTGCTTCGAAAATAACTTTAATAAATTTTATTTGAAGAACGTTTAAACAAAGAATTTTTTAAATATTTTTTCCAGCATGTTCTTATTTGATACTACCAAGGATAAAATTTTGTCGGTCTATTTAAGAATCACCCTGTATAATAAAAAAGTAGGGAAAAAACTTATTTCTTTTAAGAAAATTGATTAAAAAATTGTTGGTAATTTAATAGGTATATCTATCATTTCGTATCAATTAGATTTTATCCTATTGACTATCGCTGGAACATAATTTTGTCACAATTGACACCGACTGACGATATCACCTATTTGTACAAACCTCTGAACGTGTGTGTAGATACACTTTACACTTTACATACTCATGGGGCTAGGTGTGACATTTATGTGTTTGTTATTTTTATCGTCGATAAGATAAAACAATATGTATGTAGGCACTTGTTTCGATAAAAAAAACTAGTACATTGAATTCCTGATATGCTATGAATGTTATTGAATTTAACAGTTCTTTTATTTTAATCCTTTTATTTTCACCCAAATCATGCCCTTTTCTTTTTCTCTTGGAATAAATAACCGCATCAGTGGCCAAATCAGTGGTGGACGGCAAGGTTAAATTTCCATCGGCAACAAAGAAGGCTGGGAGCGAAATTTACCATCACGTGAAGGGGACGAGACTCGGTTATTGATTACCTGCCGACCATTTTGTGATTCCGGGCCCCGTGCCATCAACAAAATGGACCAATTGGGGAGCAGAGCACGCAATCGCGGTGGGCGTGTCGGCCGGAGGGATCGAACAAAAACGAATCGTCAGATCGAGTTCGTCCGACGGCCGAACCATCAGTTGATCCGAAACGCTTGTTAGGAACGGCCGTGTTGAGGAACAAGTGCGAAGTTGCGGTCAACTCCGGATGAAGCGCCGGTTGTAGACTTTCGGTTCACCCAATTGGGTTCAAAGTTCGGCTGTGCCGTGTGCTTCTGGTGGACTGTTCTTTGACGTGTGGTTCGTATGGTGATGTCAGAGCAGGGCGGACTGGCCATGCACCAGTTACCGATGCACCACAGGGGTTTGGTGCAACCCAGCCTTGTCATGAACCCGCATCCCATCAACGACTCCTGCTCTATGGACTCGCAGAACAGTAAGTTCATCGATTCGTGTTCGTGTGCTCTAGAACCTGACGCAAAGACTCTTTGCTACCTACAGGGTGCGCCAGAACTCGCGCCCCAGAGAAAGGTAAGATACCAGGAACATGGAAAAAATGTTAAAAAAATTCTACCTATAAAAATTTCGAAAATATGAGTTTATATTTTGTACTTTGACTTCGATTTTTTTCTGTTGGAAAAATAATTTTCCAAGTTTTTTTGCTACAGGCTATTAGAAGAGGAAACATCTTAAATTGTAACTCTGCTTACTTAAACTTTGTTTAATGTTATTTGTGGCTTTTATTGGCAAAATTTTTGTACCTTTACTAAATAATTAAAAAACATATACAAGATCATCAGTGTCATTAAATAGACAAAAAAATGTCAAAGGTCAAAAAAATAATTATCAAAATTTTTTGACAGAATTTTTTAAACATTTCGTCCATGTTGGTTGGTATCGTATCTTACTTCAAATTTTTCTCTAGGATGCAAGTTCTCACACATTCTGTATAGCATACGAATTTCTTGTAGTTTCAGTCAGGGACGGATCTTGACAATTTATTTGGGGTCTTTTTTAAATTCAAATTAAGACACTTAAAAACAATCATTCATGACAATAATTTTGCAATTTTGTTAGATAAAAAATCTTTTGTGTATACCTAGACAGTTCTAACTCTTTTTAATTTATTTGAAGCTTCGTTAATTTTGGATCGGGATTCTAGAGTATACAGTGCCTATGTCCACGAATTGAGTTTACAAGAGGAAAAAAAATTGTCTTTGATTTTACGCCAAAACTGCAAAGGGAAAACATTTTTTGCTTTATCTGAAACGAGCAAATCTGTAATTAAAACTTCATTATTTTAACTGAGTAGAAGAGTTCATTTTTCTCTTAATTTTTTTCTGTTTTTTTAAGTGCTTTCACATTGGCGGTTTTATTATTTTGACAATGATGTCACTTTGACAAATGAGTTTATGCAAGTTAAATAACAAAAATATTCGCGAAAAACATAATTTTAATAAATAGGTACTCAAAGAAACAGCTTTAAGATAAAAACCAAAGTCATTCTTAACAAGAACTGTCATTATTTAATTAATAAATTGTCAAAATGACATATAATTGTCAAATAATCAAACCGTCAATGAGATAGGACTTAAAAAATCAGAGAAAAATTATTTTAAGTCGAAAATCAAGAAAAAAATTAACTTTTGTTTTCAATGAATCAGAATAATGAAGTTATAAGTACAGATTTGCTCGTTTCAGGTGAAGCAAAAAATGTTTTTCCTTTGCAGTTTTGGCGTAAAATCAAAGATAAAAAAATGTTTTTTTTTTGTAATCTCAATCCGGGGACATACTGTATATACCTACAGAGTGATTCAAAAGACTTGAACCATCTCTTGGATGGTGATAATGGAGTTGAACTTTTAATGACAAAAAATTCTTTGAGCTTTTTTTCACGAGTTATGGCTCTTCAAAGGTTAGATTTTGAGTTAAGTTTTTGGTCGATCAGATCAGATATTTTTGAATTTAGTTAGTGGAAACGGCACATCGCACAACATTTAACAAATACCCATTGGAAAAAATTACCAATTTGTATCTTATAGTGTACAAAACATTAAATAAACTAGCAAATTCAACAATAAATTAAATTCGACAACATCGAAAACAAAATAGCTAAGGTACTTAATATGGAAATTATCAGTTCTGTTTTTTTCCTCAAAAAGAAGCTTGAAAAAAAACCTGAAAAATCTATATTTATTATTTATGCTTAGCTGAAAGTCTTCTACCACTATTTAAGAGTTGGTCCGACACTTTTGAATCACCCTGTATATGGGACAGGGGTTCCCACAAGCTTTTTTCAATATGTATTCAACCCTGATTTAAAGAATTAATCTAAAAACTCATAATCTGATTTTTTTAACGGATATCACAGAAACCTTAACCTTAATTGGTATTACCCTAGTGGTTCCAGTTTTTGATTTATTTTTATAAAATTTTGTAACACTTGTTTATAGCAAGAAATTAACGAAAACATCAAATAATTATTATCATATGAAAAAGAAGAGTGACTGGTTGGGTACACTGAATTTGAGGAGGGGGTTGAAAAAGTGCCAATTTTGAAACTTATATGCTGAAGAAAAATTTAGAACTTGCATCAATTCTTCATAATACCTGCTGGCATCTCATATATCTTTTTCTATATTTTTTTTTCGTAATTTGAAGATTAGGTATTTTTTTGGACAAAAACGAGAACAAAATAAAATTTGTGACCATGTTGATCCAAGATTTTCCCAGGTTTCTCACGAAAATTTTGATAATTTTTATTACGTAAACAGACTACATCATATCATTAAGTATTGGAAAATAACAAGTTATAATGGAAGTTTAGATTTTTCACTTGAAAAATTGTTAACTTCTGGAAAAGTGTAGGTATTTAAAAGTCTTGAGAATATGTTACAGTTAGTGAATGTTTCCCAGAGGAAAAATGTACCTATCAAGCGATTTGCAACTGTAGTTTAGACTTCACCAACAGTTTAGGTCTCTAAGGGCACCATGAGTAAAAAATGTAATCTAAATTTGTACAGTAATGATTACGGGTTTTTAATAGGTTAACATTTGTTTAAATATCCTGGGAGTAGTTTCTTCATAACGGTGATTCTGAAATCTCTTAAATCAGGAATATAGACGCATCATTAATTTTACATCGTTTGCATATTTAAGTTACATTACATTCTGACGATAGATAGGTACCCGAGTAGGTACCTATATGAAATATGACTGTTAAAATTGTTTTTTTTGCGGTACATATTGTGTGGGAAAAAACGGAATTTAAATTAAAATACCTACATATGGGGCGTTGAGAATTAGAGTGGCCTATAAACCACATCAAGCGAAATTCTAATAAAAGTTAAAATTTTCACTTTTTAAATTTTGTTTCATTGTTTCAAATACAGTCACTTTACCCTTAATATTTTTTGTTTAAAACTTTATGCCAGTGTTTCATTGAAAATTTGAATAATAAGCAGTTGGTCTGAGAGTAAAACTAAATTTATAAATTTTGTGCGCGACTATTTTATATCTTTCTAATTTAACCAATGACATATCAGCAATTACTTTGATTTGAATTTAATAAACTAAATAATTTTTCAAACACAAAAAGCAAAGTTCTGTGAGAATATATTTTGGGTTGCCTTTAAAAATCTCTTTATTATAAGTGACTCAGCCTGTCTATTTATTTATATTCAGGATGTTTTGTTTTTATTGTTACAGATTGAATCAGGTGTTACGATATTCAATTTTAAGACAAAAGTTTCCTATAAACCTCTGTATCAAAAAATACAATGTAAGGGAACCACACCCCCTGACAGAGGTGTGTCTTTTAATGAATAATTTTTTTCTAATATTTTAGAAACCATTTTATATAAAATTACAAAATTTGGCACAGCTGATAACCTTTATACACTTAAACGAATTCAAAGATAAAATGTTAAAATTTTTAATCATCTGGAGTGTCTTTTAAACTGGGAGATACCTATAAGGTATAGAAAGTACTCTAACTATTTTGTCTTTAGTTTTTTGCCGCTTTTAGCAATAGAGCCTTAAATTACATAGTTTCTCACAAAAAGGAGGTGTTTTTTTGATACAACATACTGTTTTTAAAATTCAAAATTAAAATTAGTTTCTTTTTACTTTATAGGTAAACACATTTCTCGTGATGTAGTGAAAGAAATCAGAAATTATCTAATCTGCATTTTATAATGATTTATAAACAAATCTCTACCGAATTAGTTGTCAAAAGTACTCACTATACTCAGTAATATAGGATTTCAGAGAAAAATAATAAACAAAATTTATGAACAGAAATAAGAAACATTTTATACTTGTTTTTTAAACATATAGTTTATAAAGCTTTAGGATTCAAAAATATATCAATTCGGTTTTAAAATTATTACAGTGTGTTTGGTTTATAACGCGTTTGCTAACAAAATAAAGAAATAACAAAATTAACATTAATTTGTAACAAGTATTAACGTTATATATCTATTTAATAAAACAAATGGTAATCATATTTTAGATGACGACAAGGTTGGGAATTACCTACTGTGCTCTTTATACCACCTACTTGTTAGTTGTTTTGTTTGTTTTCTAGAAAATGTTATATAAAGTTTGCAAACATTGAGTATTATCACTAGTTTAGATGATTTTATCAGATTTCAAGATGATTTAAACACATGAGAGGAATTATGGTAAGAGGTATACATTCACACACAGATAAATAATAATTTTCAATTTTGCTTTTATACCTATTAAATCTCATGGAATAAATGTATTATCATCTAGTAGTAAATGTAACAGAAATTCCATATAGGTTGAACCTTTTTTAAGATAAATACCTAAGAGTTATTTAGTCATTAAATTGCAAAGGTTTTGTTTATCTTAATTATTGCACAAGTCAATTTATTTAGCAATTATTTGTGATTTTTTCAAGTAACATTTTTTTACTTTGACATCACTGTAAAATTTCCGTTTTCTAATGATTGTTGCAATCAAACAAAGTACAAAAGAATACTTAGTGCTTACTATATTTAGTTTTGGACATTAATATCTGATTCATTTTGTTTCTATTTATAATTTTTTCTTTAAATATTTAAACAAAAATTAAGTGTTTGTCATTTATTATGTTGTTGTAGATTTTATATACCTGCACCATAACGTTTATAATCAAATTATTACCTTTATTATAATAAAATTTCCAGAAGAAATGATTAATACTAAATAAACATATAACATAATGATTTATCTCACCGTCGGAAAACTCAGCAAATACTCTTCACGTTCCAAACTCTAAAAATAATGGATGTGATTTTAGACTTGATAAAGAATCAAAAACTCTATAAAAATAAAGATAAAACTGCTGACAATAAAAAACAAAACGAGTAATAAACGTTGATTAGTACAAATTTTTATAGTTAATTTTTAATGCGGGTGTACCTTGTT